ATGAAAACTAAAAATAATTGAGGCGGACCATAGAGAGAATAATGAGACATCCACCCAACCAGCCAAAGTAAGTGACATGTTATATTACACAACAGAAAAAAGGACTGACTTGGCCGGTCGCCACATATCCATAGATGTGAAATTCGTCTAGTCAAAGATAGATAGATATAGAGTAAAAAAAATAAGCCAGTTTTTTATTGGTTGTCAAAATAGCGCCATTCAAAGGACTGTTCAAAAAAAATCTATTCTAAATTAGTTTTAAATATGTCGGGGTATTCTGTGTTTCATTTTATTTAATCACAGCATGAATAAAGATAATTTTAGTCTCAGGGATTGTAAATTCACCCCCAACAAATGACTGTGTAATTTGTGCAGCTGTGTTTAATAGTGGATGATGATTCGATATTCCATATTGAATGATGGGGAGCAATCTTCTAAATGTGGCAATATAGGTGACACCTTCTAGACGACTTCCTGGAATTTCCCAGTAAATAAAAAAACGTTTTAGCGTATATTGGTTCTATAGTGAACGAGCATTTCAATTAGACATTTTTTATGAAGGATAAAATAGCAAAGATAAACAATTTTGCAATTCTGGCCTTATGTTATGACTAGAAAAATGTTAGATTCATAAGACATACACGTAGGTCTACGAGTGCATTAATGCACCTACAATTTATATAATCTGAATAATTTGAAAGGTTAGAATTGAACCCTTCAAAGAATGTATTATGCCCCAATTGACTATTGACTATTGACTGAGGGAATAGTGTGATCGAGTGACAATATCATAATTACACAAGGCAATATACCTATTGTCAAAGGGTAAAACCCATAGCATTAAACTGTTTATTACATAAAAATCCTGGGATACCCAATAAGCAAAACAATCCAACATGATTTGAAATGAACAAAAAATGCAACAAATGTTTGGCCAAATCATTGGAGAAAATTATTATTTGCATGATCTCTGTATATAGTGGTACCTGTATCAATACCTACTACATATAACACTATTCGAAAGATCATTTACAGCAAAGTCCTTTACAGAAGGCACTTTCGAAACATCCAAGATGGTTGATGATAAAGAAAGATACACATGGGAAGAGTTAATTCAAATAGGATGGTACTGAATCATGTTTGTTGAAACATGGCAAATGTGTAATATATCAAATATTCATTAACACTATACAATACAAATATACAAACAAGTATTTCATCATATGTGTTTTACTAGGTGTTAAACACATTTATGTTTTACTGTACATACTTTACAGGATACAGTCATGTTGACATATCCATGCTCATTTCTATAATACGCAATTATGCAACAATGAATACACAGGGTATTAAGCACTCACCCATGTAGCATATATCATGCCATCTATGGAACATATATAGCTCTATCTATAAACATCATTGCATAAAATAGGGTACATCTAAATGTCGCTCTAAGTGACATCTTTTCATACACTTCACACTAAGGGCATGACTTATGAGGTAAAAATGACAAATGGATTATCAGATAATGCTTATCTCATTTAGATCATTTTTTCTTTTTGGAGATCAATCATGTGACATAGCTCAATGTTTTCGTGCATTAAACTTATTGAAAAATTTTTACTTTTAGGTCGAAAAGTCGGCCTAAAAAAGTATTCTTAGAACTAAAGATATAGCCCTTCGGAAATCGCTTGCCATATCTTACGTAGCTCTTTGAACTTGTGATATACCAAATTAAAGATAAGTATATTCCCTATCCACTGGTGTATAATATGACATGTTTTCATCAAGAAAAGCATTATCCATTTTGGAAATACGAGTGTCCCATTTTCTTTGGACCGCCCTGTATATTGAAGAACTGAATTTGATGTTAAATAAAACAATAAAGCCGTATTTTAGCTTTATCAAACTGACATTTCTGAGTTAGTTACCAATCAATCAATAAAAGACCACGTTCAGTATGGCAAGTGATTTTAGACAGTCATATCTTACACCATGAGTACTTTCTGGCCATAAAAATACAATGGCTTTTATTAAAACAATATGTTTTCTTTCAAGTGATGTCCCCATGATAGTAAAATATCAATCCAACTCTCTGAAAAATTATGGATTAGGGCCCCACCTTGGCACTTTTTAAAAATGTTAAGCTTATTTCCTAAAAACAAGATGAATTTGTTTTTCTCAATTTAAACACATCGAAAGTCTCCTCTACACTATTTTAACAATTTTTGAAAAGGGGATGGGTATTGAAATGAGTTAAAGTTAAAAACCACATATCACATGTTATTTTCCCATAGGGAAACCTCGTGCTATCCATTGTTTTCAGCATAATTTTGGTCATCAAAAATTGATATCTTCAAAACTAGACTTTCAATACCATTCTATTTTTGAACATGTCTTAGATAGACCCCTTGTTGAATAATGTTTCCATGCAATAAAAATCAGAAAAAGAAGATCCTCTTCTGAGTAAATAGGTTCAATATTTTGAAAAAAATGTTGACATGGGGTCCCTTTCATAATTTTTCGAATTGTTTAATTTATATTTTTATCATCATGGGTACTTCACTTGAAAGAAAACATATTGTTTTAATAAAAACCACTGTATTTGTGCCCAGAAAGTATTCATGGTGAAAAATATGACCGTCTAAAATCACTTGCGCTGCACGTGGTCCTTTATGAACCTACACACATTAAGGTTACTCGAGTCTCTAGCTTACAGCTAGACGTAACTTCATTGATTTCGTATGTACTCTAGAAAAGGTGCTACACGCACCTACACGCACCTAGTACTCATTTTTCATAAATTTTATAAATATTTTTAAGAATATTAATTATATTTAGGATGAAGCGTTGCTTGTCTGGATTTAGATATTTCAAAATTTCATTTCGGAGTTTGACACATGGTGACGTTTTCTCGCTGTAGCTAAAAATGGCTTCCGGTTCTGGACGTGAATAAAATGGAGGAAACTTTGAAATTATTCTCACTTAAAGAAATCAAATATAACAATAGATTCAGACGGGGATGTGAGCTGATGTTCTTCAAATCTATACATAATGGTATATTTCATAGTATTATGCCATATTTACATTCTACATGGCCCTCTACATAGGTTTCATCAAGTGCTACATGTACCTCATCCTCTTAACTCAAGATTGTGAGACAAGGCTGAATCCATTCTCTGACATGGTAGCAAGATGCAGTAGCACGGGTTGTTTCATTTCATCAATGTCAATAAACCTGCGTCCCTTCTCTATAGAAATAAGTAGTATAGGAATAAATAAGTCACATGTGGGAAGATCTGGACAATATGGTGCATTGACCAAGGGCTCAATTTTTAGGTCCAAGGATATTGTTTTCTGAACATTTTGAGATCTGTTGGCAGGTGCATTGTACATATGGAGTAGGGTGTTTCCTTCTCTCACCAACCCCTTCTTCCACAATGCTTCCTCAAATTGACCTGCAAACCCCGACCATACAACACTCTGACATCACAATACTTACTGTTTGTCAGTTTGTGTGTTACCAGTCCACGGGCTACTAGAGTTTCCACGTATATGGAGTATGACCGGTTCTTAGGCTACGAATATGACCTGTTTTGGAAAGTCATGAGAGGCACATCCTCCTAAGCAGGTGTCCAGAATCCGTACCTCCTTCTTCCCCCTGCTATAAGTAGTTAGCTTTTCCCCGATTAAGAACTCGCAACTTGATTGGCTGTCGCAACACAGCAATCATGTATACGTCATCGGCGCATAATTAGATCACGTGATTCAGTTTAATCGGGCGCGTCCAACTTGGTTATAGCAGGGGGTAAAAAGAAAGAAGATATTCTGGATTTTGAAGCCCTGTGATCGGAGGATGTGAGAGGCACAGCTGCTTAAAAATGGAAAATAAAGGTTAACTTCTAATTTATCCTTTTTGAAATTGTGTTTGTTGAATATAGTTCATGCTGTATTTAATTATAGTAATGTAACAAAAACATGAGCTATTTTAGCAATGTAACTGTTCATAATGGAATATCAATCAGAAAGTACAGATTTCTCGCCTTAGAGCCAAATCATTAATATCACAGTAGAAAAAAACAAATCCCAAACCTTTTTATGGCTAACCTGAACAAGATCTCCAAATCTCAGTTTATATGATCCCCCGTAGAGTGAGCAAGAGAAGGATTTATCTTTTCCCAGAGGATACGCTTGTGAAATGTCATGGCAAGACATTTCACAACCGTATTCTCCAATAATGGGGCACCAGTGACATTCGTATTCTCAAAAATTCAAAGATGTATCATATTTGGACAGAGCAGGCTAAATTATTTGAAATATTCATGACTTATTCGTAGATCTAGCTATATATTATACATAAGATGTGTCATCCTCTTCGGAGTTGCGTTGTGTTACACAAAAACTGATCAAAGATGCTGGAAACTAGGATTTTACGGCTTCAATCTAATATTAATACGTTTTCTCTTCATTAAGGCCCCTTGTGATATGCCTGGCATTATAAGTATACCAAGTATCATTCATTGACCAAGTAGGATAAAAAAACGTTCGAAAGTGTTCATAAAAAACAAGTGCTCACCTCGTCTGTTTATAGGAACAGAAATACGGTCACACTCGTAAGCTTAGAACCGGTCATACTCAATATACGCGGATACTCTAGTAACCCGTGCAGTCAGCAAAATATTTCAAACAACACAACACTTGTTGCATATAAAAAAAGGTTAAATCTAACTATAATTTGTAAAACTGGCTAAAAACTGAATATGTGACGTAAATGTCGGTCCCGGGGTACCTGTACCTCCTTCACGGAAATAAGGATATATCAACATGTATTATATATTTTGTCTTCAAATCTTCGGAATTGATAGATAATTGAATGATGTATCACTGGTAGGAAAATCAGAGGGATTGGTCTATAAAAAGTATCTGTGTAAAAAAGCGTCCATTACTTATTGATCACCCCTCGTATTGTAAATGTATCGTATTGCATGACCTTTTTTCAGGGAAGTCCAGACATGAGTTTCTTTGCACCCGATTGCTTCCACTTCAGCCACAAAGGCCATGCAGCAGCAGCTGAAGCCCTCTGGAATAGCATGGTATATCATTGTTATTGTTTAAATGGTATACAGATACCGTTAGGAAGAGAGGACCATAGTACATGAAATGAAGTAGTAAACCTAGAAAATGAGGGGAATAATAAATGTGGAATACTAATATCGGAAAAAAAAGAAATATATAGAATATGGGGATTAGGCGTCATGAAAAATATGATTTTACAACAATGCAGAACTGATATCTACAATTACTGGACCTAGAAAAGGCTTCCTTTATATGTTTTAGTTGGAGCCACTGGGACTTAAGAGAACTGAGTGGAGACTAGGAGAACCCTTAGAGTGCCCTAGTGAGGTAAATCTTCTTAAATATCATTTAAGAAGATCTGGCCGATCGGAATAAACATCTTGCTGACTCTTTTATTTCTTTTACTTTATTAATATTTCATTGGGAATTGTGAAGTTAAAGGAGATAGAGAACACTGGTGATCCGCTCGATTACGCTGTTTACCGAAACGGATCGTTTCGGTAACAGAATGTAGGACAGAAACGGTTTGGGTTAAAAGTGCGGATCTGAACTGTTTTTCGATATACCGTTTCTGTAACTTAAGTGAGGAATTAAATCGATAATAATGTTGTCTTCTGACCTATTTGTTCGCAAATATGTACGTTTTCTTAAACATATGATAATGATACAGGTTTGTGTAAAAAATGTCGTGGGAATTCTGCCTTCCACGTGTGAAATAAGAAAAAAGAAAAATCGTACCTTCGATGTTCCGACATTTTGTTACCGAAACGGTACCAGCGTAATCGAGTGGATCACCAATGGAGAAAATCATTTGACTGTATCCTATAAAAACACATAAGGATATAATACTTTCTGTTTTAGGAAAGTCCGTATTTTGCTACATCTAAAAACCGTTTCACAAATGTTCCAAAACTAGATCGTGAGTCTGGCAATACTCCAACTCCTTCCCTTGGCAATGGTGTGTTTGTTGCTGTCACCATAGGAACCTGCATGACTCTAGGAGTTGTAGTTTTAGCAGCAACAGTGTACACAATTAAGAGACGATCTGGCAGGTCCAACGAAGAGACCATTGGACTTGTAAGAGACCATAGATCCTTTACCTATACTACATAATGGACTCCTTTGTTACTGATCTTTGATGAATATACTGTAGTAGTATCTTCACGGAGCGGTATCCAAACTGCGTGCATACCATGTCTCATGCTCATCTGATTTAATACGAATTATTTTGTATTTTACAGGTTGGTCAAAATACTGGAAACCCTAGTACCGTTTTCCTAATATCTTTGTCATTTTAAAAAATAACTCTGCACATTTGTACATCACTCAATTTCCTACCAGCCTACCTTATTTCATGACCGTCAGATTGATAGTCACAGTGTTACAGCACTTTAAAGATCATTCATGGTGGCCACTATTGCGCTGTAGACCAACCTGCACATGTCGTCCAACATGTTCCTGCATATGGGGACCTCAGGACAATTGCAGACCTCAAAAGTGAGATCATCTGTATCATCCAGGCCATACATGTACCTGCTGAGGAATTCATTTGGATCATTGACAACTGTCCAGGTTTGCCTACAGCGCAATGATGGCCAAACCTGAAGCATGTTGTTCAAAGTGCTTTAAAATTGTGACTATCAGTCTGATGGTCATGAAATATAGTAGGGTAGTAGGAAATTGAATGATTTACAAATGTGTGAAATATCAGGGAGTAATTTCTTAAAATGAAAAAGATATGAGTAAAATGCAGGGTTTCCGTTTTTTGACCACCCTGTACGTGGGAACTGGGTTGAGATTTACATGTACCTATGAAACAAAACCCAAGTATTTTCTATTTTTATGAGAAGTGCGACATCAACTTATGTGTCGGTAATCGAAAAACAGATAGATCTTATATTTTAAAAGCTACGTTCATCTGAACATAGTTTTCGCTTTCACATGATAGAATTATATAATCGCCACCGAATGGACTTATGAAACTATAAATCAAGGCAGAATAAAGGTCTTAAAATGACGTTTGAAAACACTTGTATGATGCAATATTGATATGCGCGCAGTTTATCACTATTTCAAACTTCGTGCATAGTATGCCCGCAGTTTGGTTACCGCATCGTGATTTTAATCCCAGTTGTATCCCAGGTGTATCTCGAAAATTAGTAACTTTACAAACATTAGTATCTTTTTTCGCAAGCCTGCGGATTTGGGAATAGTACACTTTAGAGGATATTCCCTCTGCATGGAAAATAATTTACTCTATTGCCCTCAATAGTATAAGTTATTGAATGATTTGAAGTGCAATACAGGATATATTCTGCTCGAGAAATTCCGTATTGGAACGAGACGAAGTCGAGTGCCAATACAGAATATCGAGACAGAATATATCCTGTATTGCACTTCAAATCATTCAATAACGTTTTTATCGTGTGATACTCTGTATTGCTACTGAAATTGTCCCCTCCGTACCAATATTTTCTGTAATGCGACGGAGATGATCAACGGGAACAATCTCAGTAGCAATACAGATTGGTACAGCACAAGAACTGACCTATCAGAGGGCTTCATTTTACAGATCATACGATAATAGTCACTATTGTATAATGAGAACTAAAACAATGACGTAACAAAGCTTATCGAAACTTACTAATTTCGGAAGTCTCAAAAACTTACTAAAAAGTTACAAACTTTCGAGAAATACAATTTGCGATTTCGTAACTTTTTAGTAACTTTTTGAAACTGACTAAATTAGTAAAAATACTAATTAGTAACTTTACTAAATCTAGAGAAATAGACCCCTGTTAAACAAACTAAATGGTACCAGTCGTCATTGGCCAATTTCTCGGAAATATTTGTGTCTTTTCATACTCTACATCTACATCTACATCAATAATCCGCAAAAGGCTAATAAGCCCATTTAAAGCAGATATATAGTTTAACAGTGATATAATTCGAATAGAATACAATTTGAACCTTAACATTTAAAAAATAGATATATGGTTTACAACTCATATTAAAATGTACACTGAAATCATGCAACACTTCTCCACTTAAGGAGGCATCTTCCCCAAGGATCCCATGCTGCACTAGCATATTCTAGGTTAGGCCGTACTAGTGACTTGTATGCCTGGGCAAGAGTAGGCTCATTGATATTATGAAAATAAAATTGGGGGATACGTCCAAGTCTTGTCAACTTCTGCCACATTTTTGCATATATACCGAAAAACCTTGGTATGAAATATTTTCAACAATCTCCAAATAGTTTTGGAGATATCTACATTCATGCTATGTATGTATCATGTGGCAAAATGCAAAAATGTTGCCCATTGTGTTTTCAACGTTACCTGTACAACTAACTTTTCAGGACACCATTTGCATCGTTTGCAGCTGGAATTTTGATATGTTGTTGTTATTCTGAACAATGTATAATAATATATAATGCATCTCAGAAGTCACAAGTATTTTACAGACCAATGGAAGGGGTTGTTGCAGTACCACTAACTTTGACTGGCAAGTATGAATAACCAGGAGCAACAAGAAGACTGGGAACTAGTACTTTACTATGAAGTACAATAAACCGATCTGAATGAATTACAGCTTGCTTGCAAGGTTAATGGTAACAAAACATGTGTCAAGCCCTGTAGAAAAGCGAGCAAGTTTGTTTTAATATATTTTGTCTTGGAGTAGATGAATAACTTCATTCAAAAGATTATGAGTAAATGTAACGAGTGTTAACAGATATCCAAAATGCCACTAGATTTAGTTGAAAAGTATGGACAGATGACCGATAGGATTGTTTTTGTTCAGTAATTGGGTGTAATTGGCGTTATCCCAGACGGGAAAACAACCGAGCAAAAATGTAGATGGATATTCTGATATTGAAAATATCAAAAATGTGGTTGATTAAAACGTGCAAAGTTTTTTTTATAATGATTTTTGCAAATGTGTACTCACTTAATTATGGAGTTAATCCTCTGGATTCCGATACGTGTAATTAATAATCTGTAGTACAATTTAAGGCACAAATTATTCATATTTGATCATATTTGACCATCGTATACTTCTATCATTTCTACGACTTGTCAGATTTTTATATTAGTAAATTGAAAGAAAGATGATGGATAAATGTAAACTGCCTACATGCTAAAACCTACCTGTCAATTCAAGTTCAATACCAGATCCATCTCGACTTGAATGAAGAGGAGCTTGTCGCCTCCAGGACGGTCTTGCATATTGTTAAATGGTAACGATGATAACATAAACTAAGGCACATATTACTTACTATTTGTGGCACAATTATGATGTGAAATCAAGTCTGTGCCAGCTAATGACATTTTATAATTGAATGTGTCATTCCCATCCCTCAAGAAATTGACATATATATTTATTATTTAATTATAAGAAATACAAAAATACATTTTATCAGTTTATTATGCAATCACTTTCAAATCATGTGAAATTTTTGTTACAACAAGAAAACTTTAACTGACTGACTGTTCAAACGTCTCTTGAAGTTCATGTTACTTTCAAATGTTTCATCTTCACACTCTCAACAATGTTATACAAATAATATACAATATACTAATAATGAGATTTACTAGTTAATAAGCTCATCTACTAAGCACCAGATACGTCCATCATTATCACTTACTGTTACATTTCTTTCTAGTATTCTCAACTTTGAAATCTTAATCAAATATGAATCTAAATAAGCTCATCTACTACACTCCAGATATTCCGCTCACGATCTTGATGTTCATCATCGCGTTCTTCAACTTCTGTTTCTGCTACAGTGCTAGTTATCCACCATCCATGACAAGGTCTGGCTTGTGTTAAACAGTTGTCACAATAGCAACTCATATTTCGTAACATTACTCTACAGTCCCCGAGTCCTATAACGGCATGCACTTTCATTGTTCCCTTTACGGGAATCACATTTTTCTGCATACCATTCAGCTCTAGTTCTGCATTATTGTAGTCTTCTTGCCCAACATATATGAATTTCACATTCCTAATCGAACATGTACTGCTTTCTGTCCAGGCAAAAAAATCGTCCGCACCTTGGATCAAAACCTTTCCACAATTTACAGCATCGTCGGCAAGTCGTTTTACTCTACCTCCAAGGCCATCGCAAGGGCCCTTACCATGGCCTGCTTCGAAGTAGTTCCATTTCGCATTTATCTTAAATATTTTCTTATGATTTGCGACGATGTTAAATATAGTCTTGTTCCTGTACTGTGACGAAGGGCTGTCAGTCCAGTAATGGATGCATTGGACGAATGGATCCATCTCCTTCACAACAGAAGTGATGTGCTTCAGGTAGGAGTACACAGCCGTAGCATTATGTTTATGTACGTTACTCACAAACACGTAACTTGAATGAACAAGCTCTTCATCAATTTTGTAATATATTACAGTGGGATGAAGTGTTACCTCTGGCTTATTGTAGAACGCAGACTGAACTTCATTATTTACCTTACATGTATAACTTTCAGCGAAGTCCATATGGACTACGAATTGGTGTATTGGTAAGTTATTCTTAATTTTCCGAATTTCGTCATACTGGTTTTTCATTCGCATCACGTGTTGTCTGAATTCTTCAGTCATCTTCTCCAGAAATGGAAGGAAATCTTCTTTAGTTTTTATCACTCTGACTATCTTCATTGACACTTTCTTGGTAGCTTTGTCTTCTACTCTACGCCACTGATCAAAACTAATCTCATCATCAGGTAAATCGGCACTTTCACTTACCATTTTTACCACATCATCAATTTCGATGTACTTCTCAGGATTTTTCGGCAAAGTAAGATATCTGTTCAGAGCCTTTACAACCAAGGACATATTCTGGTGCTTAGTACATAAGCAGCAATCACGAGTAATAAAGGAACACAATTTGATATTCTTTGGTCGTATACGTTGAAATGATGTAAGTGAAAGTTTGACAGAAGGATTTTCACTAATGTATTTTCTATGCAGATTTACAATATAATCAGTGCAGACACGTTTTTGCTCTGTTTCTTTTCCTACTTTTACTTTGTCCGATTTTCCAGGTAAGCATCTGCTATTATCATCTCTCTCAAAGAATGCCATTACATCATCTGTAAAGTAAATAATTCGATTCTGAGTGTAAAATATATTCCATAACCATGCCTGTTTTGGTTCCATTGATTAAACCATGGACCTATATCCTCGAGGATATAGGTCCATGATTAAACAGTCCTTGGACGAATGCTTATAATTTCTTACAACGATAATTGTTCTCTGTCGAATATTGATTCTCCACGATCTCAAAGATGATTGCTTT